AGATAGATAGATAGATAGATAGATAGATAGATAGATAGATAGATAGATAGATAGATAGATAGATAGATAGATAGATAGATAGATATATATATATATGTAAAACAAAAATAATAAATAAATAAATAAATATTTCAGTTACGGGTTGTCTAATAGATTACTTGTGACGGCGAAATTTCGAAAGTTACATTGTGCAAATGTAACAGACCTGGATTCACACATTGCCATTTCCTTTGCTGTGGCCATAAAGTATACGAAAGGCGCGTGCGGGGAAGCCTCCGGGAAGCCTCAAAATTTGTGTTCTTTCCCCTCTGCCATTTTGTTCAGCCCATCCCCCCTGTGGTTCGTGAACTCGTTTCGGGCTTCACAATTTGCTCAGCGGAATAACGGATACAACTAAGAATAAACAGCCTAAAAATATATCTTCCATAGCCAGATTGAGCCACGAATGGAAGGTAAGAACTTTCCTTCTTACCATCGGCATCTCCTTACGCTGNGAATAAACGGCCTAAAAATATATCTTCCATAGCCAGATTGAGCCACGAATGGAAGGTAAGAACTTTCCTTCTTACCATCGGCATCTCCTTACCCTGAAAACAGCTTTTAGGCATTTTTTTGGAGGGGGGAGGGGGTGGGGTGTTAAAAACCCAAGTCTGTTACATTTGCACAGTGTAACACTCGAAAAATCACCGACACGAGTCTGAATCTATTAGACAACCCATAAGTGAAATCTTTATTTATTACTTTTACACTATTTTAGAGTGGTCCGTAGAGGGGGTCCGTAGGGGTAGTCCATGGACCGGTCCGTAGGGTAGTCCACGGACCCTGGTCCGTTGTGGGGGTCCGCGAACCGGGGTCAGTGTTTTCCGGTTACCCCTTGCTGGGCTAACTCTTTTACACTTCATCCTCTCTTATGCACTTTTTATGTAAGCTTGGTTAGGATGATGATTAATCCACGGTTCAGAAGTCCATTCCAGATTGTATCGGCTGGAGTGCGCTAAGCCTTCTGGGACATTCTTGAGGTTGATTCATGCTTAGGTTGCAACTTGAGTTGGGATGAATGGTACCTCGTTGTAGACACCATTTTCCTTTCTAAAGGAGCGAAATTCAGGAACAATCAAGTTATTTTTCTGCGTGGTTAGCTTATAAACATTCATTTGCACATTTCTTGACAGTACGGTTGTATTTGTTTAGTTTATAACGACTCGTTGATCTATGTTAAGTCCACTTCCGCTTTCGAAATTGCTGTGCTTTCAATTTATACTTTCGAAGAAACTTTTATCATTTATGAGCGTTTTTGTCATCTTCACAGGTCCCAGACCGTGGGATTTCGAGTCAAGATGTGATGTTTCATCGACTTATTCTTATTTCAGGTAAGCATGTTAGGAAAAGTACGGATTAGGGTCCAGTGAAACCCAAGGTGTCTGAGTGAAACGTATCGATCGATTTTCCTACAACAGCGCCCTAACCTAAATGATCTGTTTTCGTGTTGTTATAATTAAAGCGAGGACTATTCTGTGTCTTCATAGTACGCTATTTTGTTGAAGTCGTGTTTCCCATCGGGACCCCCCATCGGGGCTCCCATCGGCTGTGTACGGCCGGAAATCATCTGTATAGGCAGTCTAGGCTGGGGTAGCGGAGATTGACGAAATCGTATTGCCATTTCTGTTATTTTTTAACAGTGTTTAAGCTTCGTGGTTGAGCAATTGTTTCATTATTACAATGCTTGTTAATTAAAGAGTGAGAAATCAAGACAGCATTTCAATTAGTCAACTGGTACTATAGACTATAATTATTGTGATAAGATTTAGCTCTTATTAACTGAGAAGGAGGTCTGTATGGGAGAATCTTGACCGAGGTCATGAGTACAGACCGAACGCAGTGAGGTCTGTACACACGACCGAGGTCAAGATTCCCCCATACAGACTGACTAAGCTTGGTTAATAAGATGTTTATTATATGGCAAACAAGAAAAAATTAATTCATTTAATGTAACTGGTTTGTACTAGCTGACATTTTGCTTGCGAACGGTGATGAGCTGAACTTAAATCTGCAAAAGCTGAGTTTGCTTGTCCTCTTTACTTTTTTTCTCATCAGGCCTTTTGTCACTTCCACTAATATTTTTAGAGGAAAATAGTCAATAGTTTTGTATTTTAGTTTTCAACTTTTTCACCGCAAAAAGTACATAACCAGTCTAGATGCTGGTCTAGATGGGAAAATCTAGACCGCTTTCAATATCGATTTCAGCCAATCAAATTGGTGCATTCGGTAGTTCCCAGTCCCTGTGAGACAGAGCCATGTAATAATCATTATTAATAAGAAGACTGATGTATAAGAATCTCATGTCATTTTTTTGCAATAACCAAAAATCGGAATTGCAGATTTCTGTTAAGAGAAAATTCTACTTTATGAAAGTGTGTGAGAGAACCTGAATTCAAATTTAGATAAATTCCTTTAAAGTATAATCAAAATGTAGTTATTGAATCCATTTTGTGAGTAACATTTGGACTGTAAACAACCATTGCTATGGGCATTGCTATCTTGAAAATATTATAGCTATCAGTGTGCAGATTTCTTGATATAAACATAAATCAAGGAATGATTAAGGCAAAATTGTTTCAAAGTATATTTTACAAATACATTTGCATGTACCTCGGCAAGATGTTGAATCTTCATGTTTCAGAAAAACACTTTTTTGGAGAAAAATTATTATATTTTAGGGTATGAGACCACCTAAAATTACTTTTTTTCACTCCAATGTCAAATGTATCTTCAAGAAAATTAATTTCTCTCTCCAAGTTCATGATATAGTCAGAGGTTTTGTATCTATAGATGGTGTTACTACTAGCTGTTTCACAGGATTTCTTTTTTAAGAGAGTTTAAATGTTGTCTTTGGACATATCACAAGCTTGCAGGGAAGTAACACTTTTCAAATAAACATTTGAAGAGTCTGCAAGGCTGTTGCCTAATGGATGCCCAGTGGCCTGAGGCTCCTAAGTTACAAGTGCGGGCAACTAAAGTTTTGTTCAAGGAGCCCGAGTGGGCTTTTTAGGACAGATAAGTTTTCAAGGTGTGGTGCCAATGAGGAATTCCAGTGGGTCAATTTCCAATGCTCCCACCAAATCATCATAAATTTTCTATTAATTTGTTGGGTCATGTTGCTGACCTTGTCGGGTGTTTGACCTGAGATCCCTTGTTTATCTGGAATACTGTATCATATCCCAGATTCTTGAATTTATTTATTGAATGGTTACAATTTTTAGTTTTGATCACATGACTGGTGAACACCAAGAGTAATGCACTACAAGCTCAGCATTGAATAAATGTACGTCATGTATGCCAATGGATTGTGTCTCTGTTGATACCTTACTGATTCCAGTTGCAAAAAATAACTACTTTGATAACAATTATTTTTGGAATTGGAGTTATGATGCTGCTGACATTATATTTACAATTGGATAAAGATAATTGGGCTTTTTTGTCCGATACTTAGAAAACTTCACTTAGATGTACGGAATGAATTTCTTTAGTTTCTGAAAGGATCATTTACGACTTAAAAGTCAAAATAATCAAGTAACTAGCTGGCAAAAAGAAAACATCATAGATTGCAATCCTTTTTGCATACTAGGGTTCTATATTTTAAATTATCAAAGGAATTGGCACGACTCTGCCCAATATACGAGAATATATTTTCTCCAAAGAAGTGGCCAATATATTGTGGTAACGCTACCTCAAAAATGACCTTTAGTTTATACTAATTAATGTCCCAAGCCCAAGGAAGGAAAGTATTTTTCAGTGAGACCAAATTCAACCCCCCAAATACCTCTTTCATTTTTATTTGTTTTCATTTGAAGCTTGCATTTTATGATTTGTACAATGTATTTTGTTGTGTTAAAATAGAATTGCAAAACTCAAACACAAAAGCAGCAATATAAATTTTGTAAAAAAGCTGCAGCACTAGCATGGATACACCAATTATTGAATTTGTTTGACCATAAATAGTTATGTATTCTTCCTCAGTCATGACCTGATCACTTTGCTGAATGCTTTATTTAAAACATTTGATTGATATTAGACCATATTGGTGTCTCATGCAAAATCTCTGCCCCCAGACCCCTCCCCTAAATTTCCACAATTCATTCCAACCCCCCCTGTCTTCCCCAACCTCCCCAACCCCCTGGATTGACCACAGCAAATTTTATCGTGGGCTCCTAAAAAAGTGNAGTGGCCGTTAACTGGCACTTTCACACTGAATGAATCAGTGGAAACAACTTACCTGACCCATACTTACCCATAGGCCAGCAACCAAGAGGGAGGGAGGGGAAGGGGCGAGAATCTGCAAAGTTTCACTAAAACACAGAGCAAATGATCTGCAACGATCAGCTAGCAGCATTGTACATGTAAAACACAATAGCCCTGCAAGTCTCCAGAGGGCCGCCCCGCAGGTCATGTACTGTGAAGGGAGAAACCACTGACTGCATTGGTTTGAGTCTAACTTTGCCTAAATCATATTTATATATAGCCACATTTAAACAATAAAGATAGATGATTCTAAAAATTTTTTTTCTTGAACTAAGTGTTGTGTTAGACGCAATTTGTTGCTATCTGCAACTGACAGCATTTAACACATGAAAAGCTTGGCAAAATCTTCAAGATTTTCACTTATGGTGTCATCTATGTTTCTGTGCCTTTATGACTCATAAAAGTTAGCCAATGAGGGTGTACAAATTCTTGTTTGAAGTGTCTCTATTTAACTGTTAGCGAAAAACAGACTGGCAGCAGTCTATTAACAATCAAGTCCAATTTCAATTAAAAGTTATTGCAATAGATGATTGTAAGGATTTTTCTTGGACTTAAACAAGTTAGATTAGTCCTGTGTAGATGCAGTTAATAATGGTAATAGGACTGAGTGGAGTCCAATTCTGTCTGTAATCATACAAATGATTAACAAAATCGGACGACCGTGAAGTGGGAGTCCGATTTGTTAATCAGGAGTATCATTACAGACTGAATTGGATGACACAATGTCCTGTTACCACTTAATCATAACCATTACAATTTCCCACAATTTGAAAAATAGCTTTTAATAGTCATTTTTAAATATCATAATTAAGAATTTGGGAATAGCGTACAAAATGGCTGTCAAGTTTCTTTCAAAACAGTCACAGGACACTAAACCTCCACAATTTTACAAAGTCAGTCTCTTGAATTGGTTATTATAGTGACTGTAATCAATGTTGTGATTAGTTGATTTAGTGGAGAGGACTTAAAATGATTGACTCATGTAGATTACAGGGGTCCGATTACAGCCAACTGTCCAATTACACTGTCCGATTACAACTGCAGATAAATTAGAGCAAAGTACACCAGTTTATGCACCAATCACATTTGAGGAAATTGTAATTGTTATGATTAATATTATAATGAATCAGCAACTAAGAGCACTTAAAACGGGTGAAAAGTTTGGCGAAGTGTTAAAGTTCTTTTGCCCCTTCTCTACCTGTATTAAATAAATGATAACAATTATCCAATGAGGATGTATGAAATCTGTGAGCTAAATGTAATTTAAACCATTTTTGCGTCTAATTTAATTTATAATTTGTATTTAATTCTTATACAGGTCTCAAGGTGTGGATGTCCAAGTCAGGATGTGAATATTAACATGTTGCCACTAATTTCTGGTAAGAATTGATAAATGTAAACAGTGCATCAACTTCAATCAGAGCTAAGTACTGTGCAACATTATTAAGATGTATATGAATCTGTCAGTTTGTTTGTGATTGGACCAAATTAAATAATTTAATCAGTTTTATTATGTTATCTGTTTGAACAATGTAAAGTTGTCATGAACAGTTCAAATGCCGCTCAAATTATGGACAGAACCAACTGATGAATTAATGAATTACATGTACAGCAGGGTGGGAGTGGCATTAAATCAGTTTAATTCGGCAATGTCATTTAGGTATGACAAGCAACATTACATTTGGCAGGGTCTGTCCAATTATGCAACATTGGAGCAGTTGCTCATTCATACACCATTCCTTGTTTGAATTACTCATTGTAATATCTTGGGAGACAAAATACTCCTTAATTTTGGCATAAAATTTCAGTGTTAATTTACAATTTCACATGTGAAATTACAAATTGCCATGGCAATGTTTGGTGTGAAATTTCTCAATACATTATTTGAACAAGTGAAACACCCACAAAATGTTGTAAGACACTTAATAGTATGATTTGTCAGCCATAATGTTAAAAGGTAATTAAATAGTATACTTGTGAAATTAAGAAATAATTTGACTTAAGTGTTGTCAAAATGTGATCGTTAGAATTTTGACAAAATGCGTCTGAAATGATTGCTACTTTCACTTGTCACCATTTGACTACTCATAAGGCATACAAATGTATTTTTAAATGGTCAACAATCTGATTTTGGCAATCTACACCATGTCAGTGACTGTGAGAAGGTAAGAAAATTTAACCCCTCCCCTTCCGGCCTTCTACTCCCAACAACAGACAGAAACTCATTACATTGCATGGCATGTGAGGCTAAAGTTTTGGCAGCATTAACTAAGAGGTGGGGGTGGGGGTAGGGATGTTACAGTAAGCTGTTGCTGGATTGTTTGGATATTTACTTGAATTGCATAGACTTGTATTTTAAAAGGAAATAAGGTAATGATTAGTTGTTGATCATCTTATAATATTTGTTATTCAGCAGACACAGAGAGGGACACTAAAGTACTCACAATCAGGTTTCTTGGGGAGGATGGTAAGGTACAGTTGACAAAAACTTAACTTCCTTATTATTTTATAGTGAATCTGATTAGGAGTAAATTATTTCTTTTAGAGTATCAAGGTATCCCTTCATGCTATAGTGGGAAATAAGGTCTACTCCCCCCACAGCCAACCAGCTTTCTCAGCTGCTGTGCTGCACACCACACCCCAGCTCTTACCTTCTCCCTCTCTGCTATACTCGTCCATGTTGTCATGGGTCTGGCCCATCTGGTGTGCAAGCTAAATTATTGTATATATTTATTAGGTTCTTTACATTATTTAAATGTTATATTTTGATGTTGACGGGCTCGTTATTTCATAGAAGTCACGTGTTCTAAATATATAGGACGCCTATTGATACCAGCCTAGTGTTGAAAGGGCCACCCAGCACAATCAAAGATGGCGTGAATTGACTTCAAAGAAGAAAGAAAGAAATGTGTTCATTCAGCCCTGAACAAATGTCACACCCTTAAAAGACTGTTGAGATACTGAAGGATAATATATCACTGAACTTGTTTGAATTCATATTTACTGTTTATCCTTCATAACTCACCCACCCCCACCCCCTTCCTGGGAAATGTGGGATCTATATATTTCAAGTACATTATTGTGATGGGCGGGGCTTAGTATAGCGTACTTGATAAATGATTCTTACTGTGTATGAATTCGTGCCTGCAGAGCCTCGGTAAAAAATACATAGGTGATACAATATGACATTTACTGTTTTGGTTGTAAAGGAGATTTTTGAGGGGGGCTTCAACAAGAGAATGCACGTGATAAATTTCTTGCTCTATTGCTCTATAAAAAGGGGTGTTGGCTGTCACCTATTTGAGAAGGAGGGTTATATAGTAGATTCATGATTTATGGCATTTGTTTTGGTCAAAGATCATAACACACAGTATTTGTTACATCAAACCCCACTGTGGTCCCCTGTGATGGTTAAGTTAAACAATGATAAAAAATCGAAAATGAACTGCTTGTCATATCACACACAGGTACTGTATGGAGATTCATGTAAACCTATCTGAAGTGTACTTTGGATTAAGATGGCAGCTGCTGCACCTTCACCCTTGGCCAGCTCTGT